CTACGACACTTTCACAAATAAAATACCTTATTTTCGCATAATATTCATGATTCCATTTTCGTAATACTAATTTATAGCCATAGTTAGTTTTCTTTTTATTTACTTTATGCCTATATTTATTAAATTATAAAATTACATATTAACATGTCAGACAGATCAAACGGGTTAACCCCTGTTGACCTAAATTGGACCTATTTGTGTAGCGGGTCATTTAGGTCTAACTTGAATTTGTTCCGGACTCATGAAGAGTAAACTCATATCTGTTAATTTTGTATTAGATTCGAGCCATAATTTCAGATTATGCCGAAAATTGTCACTCGTAACTAGTTTGCTTCTGGATTGCTTCTGGATTATATCAATTAACCTCTAGAATACAACAAGAATAACGAAAGTTCGATAGTAAAATCAAAGTATCCTGCTAAGAAATTATCAAAAGCAAAAAATAATCAAAGTGCTTTAAGACTTGTTAATTTATGGGAAAAATGTTTTCCCTGAATTAGCACAATTATCAGAAAACCATCTCAAACTGTGTTTAGATATCAAATGGTTAGAATCAATCACTTTCAAACATGAAAAGATGTCAAAAACAATTTCAAAAATTCTAACCATTATAAAGGATTCGGCTACGCATCCATGTGTTCATAGAACCGGATCCATGATCGAGTTTGATTATGTGTTTGGGTCAGTATGGATTCGATGTCAGGTCACAAGTAATCTGGACTTGATCCAAGGTCGAATCCAATCATGAAACTGGAGAGGTCTCTAATCACGATCCAATCTCGAATTTGGCTTGAATCTAGCTCAAATCCAGCGCTAGATCCTTTGTAAGCTCTAGCTCTTTCAATTTCATTTCCAGGTCTCATCCGTTGTGCAATTCAACTTCCAAACATACATATTACTTTTTTTGAGTAAATTTTATCTTTATTGGCAATCTATATACTATCATCGTTGAATCTTAAATCCATGATATATGTATAAAAATTAAATTTTAAATTCAAATCTTATATAATTGTTATTCATTCAATGTTGAGTGTAAGAAAAATTATTTTTTTTTTTTTGTACATTTAGAGTTTCATTTGCACATTACGTACTTTACTTGACAAACAAGCTATTATGACAAATATCACATGCACTATCGCATAATTATGCGTAATGACAACACCATTCCTTATCTATTATGTTAGAATACATAGAACTTGCAAAGCAAGTGCTTCTAGTTATACCGCCATCCCAGTATGGCCAATTGACAACAGCCCCAGGTTTTCTACGTGCTACAGTGCATCCACATATTTAAGAAGATTACATTCGAACGCTCATTAGACGACCACGACCAGTACAAACTAGGATGGGATTATTTTGGAATGGGTTTAGATTGATTCAGTTCAATACCCAAATCTATTTTTCTGCATTCTTCTTTCCTTTAATTCTTTTTTTATATAACTTTTAAGATCCTTAATTTATTAAATTTCTTTTGGTCTTGTTGGTTCTGATTGAACTTGCTTTGATTGGTACCAATTATTTTGGGTGAATTGGATTGAGCTTTTCCTTACAAAAGGTAAAGAGACAATTGGTGAGAGATGCCATTAAGAGGGTTGAGCATTTAGCTGAGGAGTTTGTGAAAGAAACTGTTAATCGGATGGACTTTACTTAGAGAGTCTGTGAGAGATGCTGTTGACAGGGCAGCGGTGAAAGAGGCACGTGATGTATGTAAGACTGTTAGGGCTGCAAACGAGTCGAACCGCTCGCGAGCCGTTCGCGAACCGCTCGAGTCGAGTTCGAGCTGGCTCGAGTCGAAATCGAGATCGAATTCGATCTCAAAATATTAAATTCGTTGGCTCGCGATCTCGAGTATATATATATACATATATATATATATATATATATATATATATATTTTATTTTAAGTATATATTTTTATTTTTTTAATTTTAATAGTAAAATTACATATATATCCTTAATATTTTATTATTTATTAAAAAATATTATTTTATTTATTTTTTAAAAATAAAATAATTATTTTTTATTTTTTTTGAGCTCGAGCTCGGCTCGAATCAAGTCGACCTCGAACTCGAGTTTGAAATTGTCAGCTCGTCGAGTTTGAGTTCGAGTTCGAGTTTAATGAAATTATGTCGAGACTCGGCTCGATTAGGCCAAAATTTGATTCGACTCGCGCGCGTTTGCAGCTCTGGTTCTTGACCTGTTTGATTTACTTGCACTCCTGGAATGAAATCATGGACCAAATTGAGGGCTAAATTAGTTGAAATGACATGTAAGGGACCAAATTGACCAAGCTACTTGCACGCCTGGAATGGAGTCATGGACAAATTGAAGGCTAAATAAGTAGAAATGACATGTAAGGGTTGACCAAGAAAGAAAAATAAAGTCTTAGAATAATCATTTTCCCTTTTATTTTTGAATAAAGTGCGACAATCAAGATCACCTCATTAAAAAAAGCTTTACACTAGGAATATAATAAGATTAATTCACATACTAACTCGAAATCTTTTTTGGAAGTTGTTAAAGTGAAGAGAGCCAAGGACATATCAAGGTTTTTTTTTTTTTTTTTTTGTATTTGTTTAATCTTGATTGAGTTGATGCTGATGAATAAAATGTTGTTGTTGTATTTTCCCCTAAGATCTGCGTCTTCCAATTTGTTATTGTCCAATTTTGCAGAAAAGGATCTTGTATCCCACTTTTTATATTATTTCTTATCCCAATATTTATTAAATCAATAAATATTTTTTTTGAACATCTCATTTCAATTATTTTTCTTTGTCCCCTTAAGTTCCAACAAATATTTAAAGGTTTATATTATTTTTTATCCCAACATTTATTAAATCAACAAATATCTTTTATGAACATCTCATTTTAATTATTTTTCTTTGTCCCTTTAAGTTTCAACAAATACTTAAAGGGCAGAATACAAAAAGATAACAAGCTAATAATAATATTATATATAAAAAAATTCATTAAAACCCATATTTTAGTCAATTTTTTTTTATAAACTGTTATCTTCTGTATTCTGCCCTATTAATTGTGTTAAAATTTAAAGAGACAAGAAAAAAATTAACATAGAATATTCAAGAAGGATATATAGTGACTGAAAAGGTGTTGTGACTGAAAATCATACAGGAAGTGGAAGAAAAAGATTCTTCACGCCATTTTTGTCTGTTTATCTCTCTCTGCAATTGGCACAGAATATGCCAAGTTTAGCCGCAAATATGACCAAAGCACAACAAAAATATCCACCCAACTTTTCCCTGACTTCTGTGGCGGTGGTCGGTGCTGACTGTTTTGTACCAAGGTCTCCTATAAATTGTTCTTTCTTCCGCTTTCCTATTTCCACCAGAATTGACTCAAGTCACGTGTTTTGCCTTCAATTAATTACCGCATCCAAACCGTCTGTCCCCACCGAATCATACCATTATTATAATAACAGCAGATGCCTAGGAAACTGACAATAGGAAACAGGTTTACCTCCTGAAAATTAATTTTTTATTATGATGATTAGATGGCTAATTCCGTACTTCTGTAATTTCAAACTCATCGTTTTAAATACTAAATGCTGGTAAAAATTTTTGTTATAGTGCTTTATGTAAGTGCTAGTTTTCCAACTCATAATCATTGTTCATTCTTAAGATTTATTCAACGTAGTAGAAAATTTATGGAAGTAATAAGGATTAAATCACATGTTTCTATTTTTTTTATTTATACCTCAGTCGTACAGAATTTATAAAAAAACCGTATATGACTTGTCTTATTTAGAGGTGTGCATCAAATTCAATTTGGTAAATTGGAACTCTGTATTCAGAATTTTTGAAAATTTGCAAATTCACAAATTTTGTTCCGATTTCATTTTGAAATTCAGTTCGGTAAACTTATAAGTTTATAACAAAATTTACTAAATTAGATGCTAATTTTTGTTTCCATATAACAAGATTAGGTGCATTTGATAAAACTGAAATTTAAAAATTGAAATCTAAAGTCTAAAATTTGAAATATAAATTCATTAATTTATTGAATTATTAAATATTAAATCTAATACATTTGAGTACATATCACATTTATTGATAAGTGAATAACTTATCATTTAATTTTAGAGCAAGTTTTACCTAGAAATTCAGTGCAACTTAATTAATTCAGATGTTCAATTTTTGGTTATCTTTGAATATGTTAAGATATGAATTAATTAAATTTAAATGCTGAATTAGATTATCAAACAGGGACTTAATTGGACTCACTATTATTATACAATATAATTAGTAATTAGAGCTTAGAGGTATTATTATATCACATATATATTTTATATATGTATTAATATTAATATATATGCTTATGTATATTATATGTACGAATTTGAATTCAAAATAGGTATTCAATTGGAAAACATAATTCCGAATTCAAACCTAAATCGTGCAATTCGTAATCAGAATTTCCAATTTCCTTTTTGCTTTCCGTTTTTTCCGATTTTGAAGTTCCAAATTGAAATCAAAATCGATTGATAAATCTTTTTTTTTTTTAAATTGCACACTCCTAGTCTTATTAGTAATAAAACTTGTACGTAATTTGGAAATTCTTGGATATCTGCATTTAATATTTGTCTAGCTTATCTTTTAATATTATCCAAAATAAAAGAAATGTCACAAATAAAAACTAACAAAAAAAGAAAATTTATATTCATACTATTATATTTACTAAAGAACTCACTTCTATTTGAATCCTTTTGATAATTTAAAAGACATGTATACCCTTACCCTTTTTTCTTTTTCTTTTTTTTTTTTGCAGTTACAAGTTACAACTATCCAATGCTGCAATTGAGGGAGGAAAAAAAAACATAAGGGTATATTTATCTTTTTATCTAATTAACAAGAAAAAATAAATAAAAAGAAGTCCAATATATGCTTTCAACGAATTCGGGTGCGTAAATATATAGCAGTTTCCTAAAACTTTTCTTTAATAAATAAATAAATTAATTTAATTACTTCTACTCCGACTCCGAGTAGTATTACAATTTACGAGTAGGTGTTAAATAGGAGTGCAATCCAAGCCTACCCCCGGCGCCTTCTCTCGTTCGCTCTCTCTCTAGATCGCAACAGCAGCAGCAGGTACGAGAAAAAACCCACTGCCTCCGCTTCCTCCTCCTCCTCATTCTCCCGATGCCCCAATATTCCTCACTTTTTAGTCTCAGTCATTTAATTGTTTTTTATGTGTTTTAGGCAAAGGAATTGAAGACGGAGATCTGATGTACCTGTTGGTTGATTTTAATTTGATTGACGACGATCATCATGATTGCTGTAGAGCATAAAGGTGTGATTTCTTCGGTTTTTTTTTCTGTTTTCTTTTGTTTCTGTTTGATGTTGGTGTTAGTTGGAATTTAGAAGGCTTAGACTGAGCGATTTTGGTTTATGGTTTAGTTGTTGTTTGAATTTTTTGAATTAATTATATATATATATATATATATTTAAATTGGTGTATTGTTGTTGGCGTTTTTGTTTAATCAAGTGGCTCCAATGCAGTTGCTAAGAATGCTGAGAATGATGGTAATTTTTTAAATTTTTTTTGGGCTTTTTGGTGTGGTTTTACCGTTTTGGTTCCAATTGATGTGAATTTCGGTTTATATAGCGCAATGATGGTAGCCGTAAGAAAACTAGTAGAAGCAGAGACTTCTGTGTACGTTTAGGTGTGGAAATTGAAAAACTTGAGGAATTTTCAACTGCTTATGGTTGTAAGGAGTCGGTGGGAAGGAGAAAGCAATTGAGTCAGTGGAGTTGTTGTTCTTTGCTAAGAATTTGAAAGGAATGCTAGTGAGCCATAGCTTTTACTGACAGCTTGAAGTGTGGCTGTGCTAAAAACCAAAAAAAATAGGGCCGTGGAAAGGGGGTGCTGTGGTTTTTGCCCCCCCCCCTTTTTTTGGGGTTCAAATTCTTAGATTTTGTCCAATGTTATATATGTCTAAAGAAGTCCATTTATTTTGGAGACTTTTCATTAAGTCAACATATATGAAATTGAGCTTTCTGGGAGATGATTCATGCATTTTATGTAGAATCTCATCGTTTCATACATCATAACTTTCTTATCTGATTTAATCATAATATGGTTCTAAAACACGAGATGTTGCCTTTGGAAAGCTGAGTCTGTTAGGCAGTTGAGAACTATTATATGTTATGGAAAGTATGATGCTGGCACTCTCTCTCTCTCTCTCTCTCTGTGTGTGTTTTGGGGGGGGGGTTGTCATCTTGGTAGTTTTCTCTAATTTAGCGATTTAGCTTATGGTTAATATATGGTATACGTTCATGTCATAAAGCTTGCACTTTTTTTGGATACTGCAAACTTGTGCTTTTTAATTCATAAAATGAGGAGCAAAAAGATATTTTGTGAAGGGGAATAGATGAAAAGGAGTACGACTTATTTAGGTAGGACAATAAGCATTTGGACATCTGGGTAAATTTGAATTACAAGAAATTTTTTTTGCACATTTTAATGTATCAACAGTATTGGATAAGGATTACCTATTACACTTGTGATTGAAAATCTCTTGTTCCAGTGACTGTTTTGACTGGTGCATTACCGAAAGTGTATCTTTTTCTTTCTCCTTTGGCTTATTCCGTATTGTATTACACTATATGTGAGCATCCGACCTGCTTCCTGCACTGTTACCCGACCTTTTTTTCCTATAGTGTCATGCCATGTCTATGAAAATATAATCATCGAAAGTAGTAACATGAAAAAGTTAACTTCTCTCTAATAATGATATTGTCGCTTAAATTGAAAAAATGATCAATTGCATATTTTTCTTAGTCTCTACTACCTTTTTGTTCCTCTTTTTCTGGTTTGTTTACCTTGTGATTTGTCATGGGACTACTTCTTAGTGCAAAAGTTAATTATTTTGATTCCCAACTGCAGATTCCATTGAGCACATCCCTCGTGAGGTGCCAGGGAATTGCCTCCAGAACAATGGCTTCCCTTGCAACTTGCAGTATACGAGGATCCCAATTGAAGGCTTTCAGGAGCTCAAAGATGGGATCCGTGGTCATCCAGCGAGGGATATTGTGGAACCGGACAACTCATTTAATAGTGATTCTCTCGAATCGCCTAAAGAAACTCCAAAGAAACCCATCAATCAGCATGAATTCAGCATGTGGTCATCCTATATCCAGAATCTCCTAACATGACGATGTGCCCTATGAATGCTTTTGAGGCTCAGTTCTACCCTTGCTTTGTGGATAACAGGATACGTTATGCCCCATTGAACATGATTCCTCAAAGTTACCCTCATGAATACCAGTTCCAAGATTTTCAATACTTTGTTGTTATTGACTTTGAGGCCACATGTGATAAGGAAAAAAATCCTCATCCACAAGAGATAATTGAGTTCCCATCTGTGATAGTGAGTAGCATGACTGGCCAGCTCGAAGCCTGTTTTCAAACATATGTGCGTCCAACTTGCAATCAGCACCTGACGATTTCTGTAAGGACCTCACTGGCATTCAGCAAATTCAGGTGTGTTTGTCCATTCTTTCTGTTTCTCTTTATTTATTTTTGCAGAAGTGTTAAATTTGTAGTTCCAGTTTTCAGTTAAGTTTCTGGTTAGCTGAATGTTGAAAACTGTGTTTCTGCCCAGAGTATAAGTAAATGGCAGCTTAATCTGGGAAAGTTACACAGGCTGGAAGAATGATGGGGTGTTTTAATGATATATGTAAGGATTATGGGAGCAATAGAAGCATGGTTTTGTCGTTTAGGGATATTTGACTTTCTTCCTGACCTTCTCTTGCTAACCATATCTTCGCCTTATCATTCTAGATTGGCTGACTCTTGTATCAATGATGTTGGGACAGTCATTCCATTGCATCTAATTCTTGAAACGCTTAATAATAATTACCTGGTAGTTTGGAAAGCTAAATTCCCTTAGAGTTTTAGTTTAAGAAAGTTCTTCCCTACTTTTGGTAATAAGGATTGAGGACCCATCATCTTCTGCTCTTTTCAACTGACATTACATCAGAGTGGATAAGTTGGTTTTGGATAAGAACTAGTATTGGATTGTCCTAGGTGGAGGGTGGGTGAAGGCCATCATTTAGCTAATTGCACTAATGGAGTCATTCATTTGGGAAAAGCAAAATTGTAGTGTGTAATGGCTAGACTGATAATGGATTTATGTGGTTTTATGCTATTTGGTTTGTAGGAGAGACAAACATGAGGGATGTATAGATGCGGCAGGAAGTTTTCTCGCTATTTAATGCAGTTAGACATCAACTGTAACACTACTCATTTGATTGGATTTGGATCACATTGCTGTAATACTTTGTGTCGATTTATTAGCTGCTTAAATATTCATGCTTGCCAATGCCTCTGAATTTGTCAATTCACTTGAGGTTTTTTTAGTACCTTTGTGTTTCACAGTTAGATGTTTTATTTGTTTGGAGATTTTATCCCCCCCTCTCCACACTATGGCTGTATGGAATCCACCACCTTTGCAGCTAAGCTACATGTTTATCATGCAATATTGTTTCCTTGATTTTTTACTGTGATATTTAGTATAGCAGGCATCTGTAATTCTTTAATTCAGTTTGCATTGTGCTTGGATCTAAATTCTCATATTAATGATGCCATGTTGTGCTCAGTTACGTACATTTCAGCTTATATTCTTTTTGGTTCCTTTTCCAGGTGGATAGAGGAGTTACTCTCAGTGAAGCTCTCCTAAGGCATGATAAGTGGCTGGAGAAGAAGGGGATAAAGAATACCAAGTTTGCTGTTGTTACTTGGTCTAATTGGGATTGTCAGGTGATGTTGGAATCAGAATGCAGGTTCAAAAAGATCAGAAAGCCTCCTTATTTTAACAAGTAAGACTTTCACTACTCCTTTTTTCATATTTTTGATATATATATTTATATTTTTTCTAGCTGGGGAGGGGTTGGGATTTAAAATTTTCTGGATATATGCTATATCTAATTAAGATGATAAGCCAGCCTTCTCATTTGAAAAAGAAAACTTTTTTATTTGGGGGGGAAATATATGGTTTAGCTAAATTAGCTTCAATACTGCCTTTAGGTTTGTCAATGTTTAACTTTGACATCAGTATTTAATGTGAATTTAACTCTTCTTTCCAGATGGATCAATTTGAAGGTTCCATTCCGTGAAGTGTTTGGTGGTGCAAGATGCAATTTGAAGGAGGCAGTACAGATGGCTGGCCTAACCTGGCAGGGCCGTGCTCACTGTGGTCTTGATGATGCAAAGAATACTGCCCGCCTTCTTGCTCTTCTTATGCGCAGGGGTTTTAAATTTTCGATCACCGACTCTTTAATGTGCCAGCCTGCAGATGAGACTTTCATGTGGAAACTTCCTCCCCTGGATCACCCAGCTTTTACCTCATACCAACCTCAAAAGATGAGGACCCTGCATGTTCCTGTATTGCAGCTTCACCCTCACTGCTATTGTGGGGTAAAAAGCAGCAAAGGGATGGTTCGGAAACCAGGTCCAAAACAAGGGAGTTTCTTTTTTGGGTGTGGGAACTGGACTGCTGCTAGAGGTGCCCGTTGTCATTACTTTGAATGGGCTTCAATATGACCTATGAAGGATGAGAAAGTGACATCTTTATCCTTCCTGGTCGCTGCTTATGCATTATTATCTCATGTAAAAAAGGGCGAGTGTGGTGGTTTTCTCCCAGAGGAAGCTGTGTCTTTGCTTGGGGTAATGGTTATTTAGGAAGTATGTGTAGATAGTTGGCTTAATCTTGCGTCTAGTTACCGCTTGAAGTTGTTTAGGTATAAGGGACGTGCAACCAGTTTAACAGACATTGTGTTGACAAGAGATTGAATTTGTGGAATATTCATTATTGCTAGTTATAGGTTGCTTAAATGCTCGGACATGCTTAATTATCACTGAATAATGTGTGAATTGTGAATTAGGAATGCAGCCTGGCATATTCAATGAGATTATTGGAGTTGCTTGAACTCCCTTTCTTTGCTGTCTATTTTCTGTGGTTATGGCGTTTTTACTGCTTTAGTAGTTCAGACTTCAGAGATGTTGGTGGGTAAACATCTTCGACTGTTGGTATGGGCGTCTGAAAATGCAAAAACAAAACTTTCGTACTTTTTAACTCTGACTGAAAGGAATAGCATTTAAGGGTAAAGTAGCAAATATACTGATGGAAGAATCAAGAGGGAAATGAATGAGGTGGGCATGTAGTTTGTTGTATGATTTCTTGAGTTCAACCGCAAGCTAGTTTGTTGTATGATTTCTTTTGGATAGAGTATTATTTGAAATAATTATTCGAGCACTTTTTGTGATGTGATGTATGTAAGATAAAAAGTAGTTGGAATATAAAAGGTAAATTGAAAATTGTGTTTATGATGTAAGTGAAATATTATTTGAGATAATTTGGTAATCCAAACACGCTTAACTACTCTTTAACAAATATAAATTCTTCTAACGTCTTGAGAAACAAACAATTTGTACAAAACTTGGGGTCTGTATGAAAAAAAAAATTAAAGTGCCTATTGGTATTTGGTGGACGTATCTCTATTTGTAGTAAAGTAGAAGTGTCGTATAACAAATATGAATAGGGATAATTTCAGAAACCTCCGCTGAGGTTTCTGGCTATTTCACTAGCTTTTTTTTAATTTTTAAAAATTACACTAATCTTCCTTGAGGTTTATTATTTTGTAACACCTAGGTTCGACCAATAATTAAAAAGTAATATTAGGAGAGACAAAATAATATGATTTCACCATTGTTCATCATCTGTTAAATTGTTTAATTAATCTAATACCTGCCTAAACATTAAAGAAAATACTAGAATTCACTGTTTATCATCAGATATTAAACCACATATGGCATCAAAAATATTATATCAGTCTATATATTTTATTTAATGTAAGACCTAAATTGCTCTTTTCAATTACAAACTCATCATCAAACATGATCAACAACAAATAATAAAAAATTTGTAGCCAAATATTAGAAACAATGAACTTTAATATTATAAAATTCTCAACAATTAATTTTAATATGTTGATAAGAATATTTATATGTTAAAGTTTGTTCTCTGTAATATTTTGGTTGCAATTTTTTTAATTATTTGTTGTTAATCATATTTGACAATAGGTATGTAATTAAAAATTCCAGCAAATGTATCAGTTGATGTCCTTCTAAATAGAAATTTCCCCAAGTCGTATATTAAAGGAAAGTCTGATTATGTAAAGAGTAATTTAGATCTTATATTAAGTGAAAATATAACATGATATACTATTTTTTGACACTATATGTGATTTAATCCCTAATGATAAATAGCAAATTTTAGTGTTTTTCTTTAATGTGTGGGTTAGTATTAAATTAATTAAATAATGTAGTAGATAAGGAGCAAGGATGGAATCATATTATTTTCGTTCTCCTAATATTATTTTTTAATTATCGATTGGATCTAAATGCTACAAGATAATTAATCTTAGAAACCTTAGGGGAGACTAGTAAAATAGTCAGAAACCTTAGGGGAGGTCTATGAAATTATCCCATATAGATATGACTTAGGGCAAAGAAGTAGAATCTTACTATCTCTCGATTGGTTTGTCAACTAATTAACTAAACTTGATGAATATTTTGTATTTGGCAAAATTAGTTCAACTCGTTAACAAATTTTTATTATATGTGGTTTAATAAATATACAAATTGGATTTGAACAGGACCATAGAGGAATATAGAGGTTTTCGGTTTTAAAATTCTTTTGTCCTCTCCTCACTTCTTAAATTCCACCTCTTTTTTATTAAAAAAGATTTAAAAAAAGTTAGATTTGAATCCAAATTCTCTTGTCCCTTCTCCACTTCTTAAATTCACCCAAATTTTTATCATACACGGTTTAGTAAATATACAAGTTCGATTTGAACAAGAAAATAGAAGAATATAGATGTTTTTAGGTTTTAAAAATTCTTCCATCCCCTCCCCATTTCTTAAATCCCACCACCTCCTTCCTTGCAAAAAATAAATAAATAAATGGAATTTGAACTCAAGTTTACCTACTTCTTCCCCACTTCCTAAATTTCATTCCCTCCCTGCAAAATTTTTTTTTAAAAAGGTTAGATTTGAACGCAATTTTGAGTTTGTTAAAATAAAATAATTAAAATAGAAATAAAAGTTTAAATATTAGATGGTTTAAAAAAAGTTGGATTTGAACGCAATTTCGAGTTTGTTAAAATAAAATAATTACAATAGAAATAAAAAGTTTGAAGCTTGATTAAGTTGACATATTTACATTCTATTTGTCGTATACTCAACACCTTGTACCAAAACATTTTTGTTGCTAAATGTAGATTATTCAAACCTCGAGGACTGTTGCTCAAATTCACCCATAAACCCTAAACCAAAATCTTGTTACCCTCTTCTCCCCTGCTTTTAACTGCCACAAGCTTTTCAATTTTATTTTAGGGTTTGTTTCTAATCCTTTCGGTTTTCGACAAAATTCAAATTACTTGTGAAGTAAACAGCAAAAAATTGAAGATTTCAGTGGTTAAACGACTAAATGACGTCGAGACCAGAGCTAAAAGCGCCGCCGGAAATTTTCTACAATGATGAGGAAGCTCGCAAATACACTTCCTCTTCTCGAATTATTGAAATTCAGGTATTTTTCCAAAACACTTTTGCTCAAGTATGCATTTTTATGAATAAATGCATGTTGATAATTTATATTAAGGTTTTTATGGCGGTGTAATTGGGTTTTTGAAGGCGCAATTGACAGAGAGAGCACTGGAACTGCTGGCTTTGCCGGACGATGGAGTTCCTAAGTTACTTCTTGATATAGGTAGCTCAATTGATCTACTAATTTTGGATTTTTAATTGTATTGTGGGTTTTGTGTAAATGGAGTTTTGCTGCGTGGGAACAGATATAAACACATACATACATATATATATATATGTATGTATGTATATATATATGTATGTATATATATGTATATATGTATGTGTATATATATATCCACACGTGTGCGTGTGTGTGTGTGTGTGTGTTTTCAAATGATACTATGCATTGGTTTTTAGGCAAAAATGCTGTAGAATTTACTTCTCGATATGTGCAAGAAGAAATTGATGCTTGTAGTCGTATATGGATCATGTGTGTGTATTGGCTAGGGAAGTGAGAAATGGTTCCACGTGCATGTGCATTCGTCTGTGTATGTGAAGCCCAATTGGTGTATGTTCAGAAGTGTGACCATTGAAGCGGTGAGCCAAGAATAGGTTCAAGACCTTAAGATGTAAGTAGTGTGCTGTAATTGTCCTGAGACAACAATGCAAGATAGTATGTTAGAGATCTTGAAGGGACCTGCAAATGTAGTGGTACATAGATTTTTAGTTGGCTTCACCATTGCAAGATGTGAATGATGTGATCCTCACTATTTCATTTAATTAATATTTCATGTCTTAGTGGATTGAATGAATGAGGGGGGATCATCTGAATCCTGTGTTTTACATGATTGCCAATGTAACTCTAGGCGGCTTATCTGATGCTTTGGTATGTTTACAAGCAGAAAAGGCTCTTTCTAGGATTATGTTTTGAAAGTTCTGCTTACCAATGAAAATGCCATAAAATATGAACTGTTACAGTCAGTATCTTTGGGAAGTTTTTCATCCACCTTGGCTCAATATTCCTCTGTTGTGTAATGTATCTAGACTTATCTCATTTTTGTATCTCTCTTCATGTACGTATCGGCTCTGAATTTTGGTGTGAATGGTTGTTCTAGATCTTTCAGTCAATGTTTTTTTGGCAACTAATAGTTGCTCCTTTTATGTCTTAGGCTGTGGGTCGGGACTGAGTGGTGAGACATTGACTGAGAGTGGACACCAATGGATTGGTTTTGATATATCACCATCAATGCTCGGTATGTGAATTTAGTCTTTATTCAGACTAACTTTTGGATATATATATATATATTTTTTTTCATTACTTTGTATTATGCAATGGTTGCACTCTAATAAATTAGATGTTGCATTGGAGCGTGAGGCTGAGGGTGATCTCATACTGGGTGACATGGGCCAGGTATGCACCAAGTTTAGACTACTTTTAAGATCTAATATGTCAAAACCCTTGGTTACTTGTTACCACTTTCCTATTTAATTGAAAAGTGGGAAACTTGGAAAATGAACAAGATAACCAGTTTTTGTTGTTGGATGATAATCTATCCACTCCCTAGAAGATTATTTTCTATGATGCTTTTATAAATTTGCAAAAGATGGTCCTTTAGATAAAAATAGCTGTCACATGAGGCCAAGCGGTTTGCTTCTTCATTTCTGATACTGAAGTAATATGATATATGCATTATTTGGTTACAGGGTTTAGGTGTTCGACCTGGAGTTATTGATGGAGCCATCAGTATCTCTGCTGTTCAGGTTTGCTTTTGACAGCTATATTTTTTTTTCTGGAGGCCCTTTTGTTTCAACGTACTTCTGGAGAATATTCTGTCTTGCAACTCTAGTAACACCTTTTAGTTAAAACTTAATGGGCTCAGGCACCTTGATTTAGGCCATTTTGCATGTTATTGAAACTAAATCCGTAGAAATTCCAATCCTGCATGCTTCTATGGCATTGAGCTAGTGACTAGGGAGCTCATCAGCTCATCTTGTGCCTGCTAAGCTTACATGTTGTAAAACTTTTATTGGAAAGTTTTCACTGGGGAAATTTTGATGCAAAGTAGCAATTTGACGCTCCAAATATCCCATTTTTTTCAATTAATGGCTCAAAAGATCTGTTAATTCTTTGTCGATAAAATAAAGTAGAAGGGCCTGACTTAAACTACAAAAAACCAATTGGTCTTGAGTGTCTCTAAAGCTCGATTACTAGTACACCAAAATTCTGGCGCATGGGACAGATAAGTCCTTAGTTGTTGACTTTCATGCCACTTGAAATCCATTATCTGCCATAGCTACTATACAGCTTGGACTGTGGTTGTCAACATTTCAACCCCATGTTCACAATGCCTATTGCATGAA